TTGCAATGCTTTCTCACTGCTGCCACAAAGGCAGCAGCAGTTGGCAACTGGCAGAAAGCTTGTCTCTGTCTAGAAATCCAAATAACTGCTAAAGGAAGAATGGTAGTTTCATAGACTGTGAAAGTATTAAAACCCATGGCAATAAAGAGATCTCTGATTAACAAAACCCAAACAATTGAAAAGGATACAAGTCACACACGCAAAAACCCCAATTCTTTATACAGCAATCCTTCAGTTCCCTCAGTTTCACCCAAACTAAATTAAAATGAGAACCTTCAGGCAAATTGCCATTAAACGAAAACTCTTAAAAGGAAAATGTACAATCTAATTATAGTGTAACAAATGTGTACCTTTCATCTACAAGGCTGGTACTCCAAATTATAATAGTCAATTATGATTATATAATCTATTAAAAAGAATAACCAAAGTGCTATAATGAAAAGTAAAAACCTACAAAAGAACATGAAAGACATCTCCAGTGGCTCAAAGCGGCGTAACAGTAGTGCCCTATACAATTTCCTTTCTCATGTAGCCTTTATTTAGACTTTGTGTCAGAGACAAGGGTGCTGGCAGTCACTTCCTGAATTCTCAGAAATGCATTCCTTATGCCCAGTGCCCACTGAATTATTTTTTATGATACCTCATAAATGTAGCTATCTGGAAGTAAAAGGCATGCAGTTCATAACTAAATCACACTTAAAAGAAGTACTTCCTTTTATTTTGCAGGTCATTCATATATTTGCAAAAAATCCTTCCTTCCTTCCTTCCTTCCTTCCTTCCTCCCTTCCTTCCTCCCTTCCAATTTTTTAATTACATAATGACACAATTAGAAAAAATACTGAGAAATTCTAAAGCATGCTTAAAATTATGGAACAGTTTCAATTCTACAAATTAACAACTGGAGCACGGCCTTTCAACCTCAAAAGATGAAACTAAGAGTGACATGAAAACTTTACAGTATCATGAATGATAGAAAGATGACACAGAATCTATCCACCACCTTTTTAAACACAAAAAGTTAGGGGGCTCAAATGAAACAAAGAATTTACTATATGTGTGGGTCAGCAGAGGAATTCTGTAATAGGATATGGTAGATAGTAAACCCATTCAGACTCAAAAAGTGAATGAACAAATTCATTAAAGAAAAAATATTCAAGTGTCTCTTGAACCAGTAGACACCACCACTGCCTTAGGGACTATCTGAACTGTGACATTCTGCAGGCTCTGGGAACATTGTACATTACTACCTTGTTCCTGCACTGTTCTCTAGACATCTGCTATCAACTGCTATCAGAGACAGAAATCTGATTTTAAAAAAAACAGAAATCTGATTTGCTTCACTGCAAATGCTCCTTGTGTGAAAATTACAAACTTCCCTAACTCTAATGCATTTCCTATAAATTTGATACAGCTTAAGGGTGATGCCTAGAGAGACTACCTGGAACAGAGCTAGACAGTGTTGAACGAATAAAGTAGGTTTTTATTAAAAAGGCTTCAAAGGATACACCTTGGGCAGTACAAGAGCTTGGCCATGGCTTTACCCAAGGTGGACGACTGGTCACAAGTTTTCACACCTTGATAAGTTTTGGTCCATTTACATATTGGGGGTAATGGTCCAATTACAGCTCCAGGTTATGAAGTCCCATCCTCCCAGATTAATCTCCTCAATGCACTGTTGTTTACACTGTGTTGGGCCTGAAGCTGCAAGGGTGTCCTTGGTTCTCTGGCTGGAAAAGGATGGTTCTGTCTAACTAAACGGTGAAGAGAACTTGAACAGAGTTATATACTATAGCAGTACAGAATCTGGAAAATATAAAAGCTAAAACTTAAGGTATCAAGGGGAGCATGCTAAAACTGGGAGGATTAAAATCAGGTGTATTTGATCCATTCCCTCTGCGTTGTCTGTAATCATACAGTCTAAACCACAAAATTCCATGTGATTTAATGACTTTTTGGTCAAGAATTTTCTCATGTATAATATCTATGCTATATTTGGAGTTTGCTTTTTCTTAGCTTTCCATCTCTAATCTAATATTAAGAAGTCAAAATCTCTAGTATTTGTGATTCCTGCTGTAATTGTTGCTAAAGGGATCACAGATCATATTCAAAACCTGATCACAAGTGAAACCTCTCTCTGGTACTTTCATAGCAAAACCTGTCTCAAATATCCTTTAACAAAACAATTTTAATCACAGTATATTCATTTAATCAATACTAAAATTTCTTATTTCTTTTGCACCTACAGACTATTATTAGTGCAAAGTAATGTTTTTATTTCTGCCTTTTGAGAACTCTCACCTATGAGAACCTGATTTGTCTTATATTTGTTTTTAATATGATACTCACCTGCATATTCAGTCAACCTCAGACTCAGAAATAAATTTCCACAGACATACATCCATCAAAATGCTTTTCAAAAAATGCCTACCAATAAAGACCTCCTAGGAACTTACACTTCCCTGAGCAATATTGTGGAAAAAAAAATGGAAAATATGACTACAGACAAACTGACAGCTTCATCTATATGTGGGGTTTTTTATAATGCTGAACTGTGTAGTGTTGCACGTCCTCCAACAATTCCTGTGAGCCATGACTAATTGCAGCAGTTAATAAGAATGAATATTCTAGCCTGAGAATTGCCATGTGAATGTATCAAAACAAGTTGCAATGCTTTTTCTGACAGTTGCCTCAGCTGTGAGGAAAAAAAAACCCACACTATTATTGATGAGAGCAAAGGCTTAGCATAGCAATTTTTCTGGAAAAAAATATACAAAATATAACCAAACCATGTCAGTTCCAGGGACTGTTCTGTCATGCCCATCATGACACTTGTAATAAGGCCAAGTTTTTGTTTACAGAATAATGTTGTGTTTGTTTCATTTTGTTTTCCATTTTGTGCATTTTGTTCCACTTCATATAAATAGCTCCTCAGCAGAGCAAATAAGTTAACCAGAACAACCACAAGATAGGTCTGAAGCACCCTGGATCACTTGGAGACAGTCAGTCAGGCACTTACTCTGACAAAATCTATCTAAGCCTAAATTCAATAAATGAATAATGCCCGTCCAAATAAAGCAGGGTAGGTGTGTGAACCCAAGCCTGCTTAAGCTCACAGGGAAATGCCCTATCATTTCAATTACAAGAAAGGGAATTCCTTGGTCAAAAAACATTGATGCTTTCAAAAGTAGCATGTGAATTTCTGTGCAGCTTCCACAGGTTTACTTTAAAAAATCTTTTTCCAGGCATATTTGTGAATGCTCAAGCAGTGATTGCAATGGAGTGCCATCTAAGATGTATTGATGGGCAAGTGTAGGTATTAGGCCTGATTTATGCATCAGAGAAACTTTTCCTGTTTTTTTTTTTTAATAATGCACTTGAGTCCAGCCCACAAAAGTCCAGAATTCTTGGGTTCTTCTTAGGTAGATTGTGCTGCTTGAGGAAAATATTTTGCCAAAAATGCTGGTAAAATACAGTTTAAGAAACTTTTGTATTTTATAATTACTGTTGCTGTCATATTGGCCTTTTTTTTTTTTTTTTTTCAGAAGTACCAGGCACTGTTTTCCATGCTTCAACACTTGTTCACAAATCCTGAGTTACCAGATTGTAAGTATATATATTGTTCATATCAATTTAGTTCAAAAATGTTAGTAAGAAGACAGCATCTATATGAAAGACTGCAATCTGTCTGAGATTGGCTTTTTTCTCAGAAGCATGCCATGATTGTGGAATGTATCCAAATAACATTCAGTTGGGAGAAATCTTACAACTGCAGGATGACTTTTATGGGGCAGTTAATCAACGTACCTTTGTTTGCTTCACAGTGTTTGTTAATGTATATTTTAATAGAGTATTAATTTTTTCCATAGAACACTACATACAAAAAAAAACCCCATCCTCTTGCTTTGCTTGATTGTACTATGCACAGATTAATTAACATACTTCACTTTGACAAAGAATTATTGATATAAAGGAAAACAGAATAATGAAATTGGCACCATTATTTTCCAGTAGCTCTAAAATTTAATTACATGAGAAAAGAGTCTATTCTCTCCATCCACCATGTTTTTACAATCAAGATAAAAGATTGTGATGGCGCTTAAAGTTGTATCAGGAGACACCTGGTCAGGGGTTACTTGTCCATTACCAAGTGCCGATTCCCATTCCCAGGCTACAGCCTGTTTACTCAAAACAATCTGAGCTTTCCAATGGGGTTTACTTGAATTAAAAACTGGCTTATACGGGTGGTGGTTTTCAAGGAATCCTTGCTTGAAACCGTCAGTTTCAAAGGGGAGTCTTAATGAAGTTCCTTGATGCCCTCTAAGTCCTGTGGATAGCAAAAATGGGCCGGGGCTTATGAACCTAAAGCTGGAGACAGCGCCTTGGTTTTGTTTGTGGTTGTTATGGCTCGAACTGCGTCAAGAGTTATGCCGTGAGCGTGCAAACACTCGGCCACCTGTCTGAATTCTGAGCGCTGGTTTATGCAGCAAACCCAGCGGTTTGCAGAGCCGGTGGCGGTAACGCGAGCCCGAGGGCTCGGGCAGGCGGGGCGGGGATCATCGGCGGCAGCAGGAGCGCCCCGGCACAGCGCCGGTCCCACCGCGGGCACCGGGCACCCTCTCGCCCGACACCAACCCTCCCTCCCCGCCGCTGCCGTTCTCCCGCAGAGCGCAGCCGAGAGGGACCGGCCCTGGCGGCCGCAGCTCGCACTGCGGCGAGCGCGCTCCTCAGGGCGCAGGGACACGGCACCGCCACCCCACGGCGGCGAGCAGGGGCGGGGGCCGCGGGGCACACAGCGCGGTGCGCGGCCG